TGACGTGAAGCCGACTCCAGAAATAGTGCTGTGAGACCCTTCCCTCGACTTATTGCAAAATTCATAGCCGGGACGGCTTCAGCCGACACTCAGCATCGTCAAGAGCTCTAATTGGAATTGACAGTGCGGCGGCTGGGAAATGAAGCCAGCGCTTGAGTACTTCCTCGGGGCTTCCTCTTCTCGCCGTTAATATACTGAGGTCGTATGACAACGGATATAATTAGCAATGCATACGTTATGCATAGGTTTCAATGGAATAGGAAGAATTGTTGGCCGGGTGATATTCGTTCGTGGCGAATTTGGGCATACTCGATAGAGTTATCGGGTGGTGGTGTTAAGGTTCTGGAAAAGATTTAAAGGTCCATAACACCTTCGAACACACTTCCAAACGAACAGTGAGGTAACTAGTAGGGGGTGGGGGTCTATCCCACCATAACTGTCTATGTCTCCGTTGAAGTACGATATCCTGCAGACTGCGCCATGCATTTGACATCTATTCATTATTATTAAGGGGTGTGTAATGAAATATGAAATGATCTTATCCTAAAACCGATATCCTACTCATGGGAAAAAACCAGAGCATGGTCATCAGAAGCTTCGACACCCTCAGTTAGTTCAGTTCCCCTTGCCCTGATTAGAAATCATCCCCTGATTCATCCCCCACCCGCCTAATTGGAAACCGAAATGCAGTGGTTCAAGGTTTTTGATAACGAAATAAAAGAGTGACGTGTACGCTGGCAATTAAATGGCACCACCAGAATGCGCCATGCATCTGTCTTTACTGACAGAACGCAGCTCAGCTTGGAGCTATTCAAAAAAGGACGTGGTAAACACGAGTCTATGATCAAATTAGGGTTTTGATCGCCTCGGGTAGGCCTCGCTAAAGGTGATGGACCCCATTAGTGCGGAAGGCTTGTTTACGTGAGTCGGGCTTATTTTCAGGGAACTGCATCAAAGCAATGGGGCTTCTCGGATCGTTACTGTCAGATATACTGCAAATTTTTATCAGCCTTTCATGAAAAAAAAAGGTCCACGAACCAAGAATGTCATTTGCATCCACCTCGCCGATCATCATAGTTGATGTTTTGGTGATCGCTTGAAGTATGATGAACAGTTTCTCCAGTACCGTGGCGTTGTCATCCTAGAAGCAGAACACCATTGAAAGTGTTCTACCATGTATTGAAGAAAACTGCACATTCAACTCACAGTCTTCAGGCTCTCCCATGGCTCAGTGCCCGAATCTCTCATGATCAGATGGAACGCAAACGAGAACGCGACTAACGTGGGAATCCAGATGGTGGCGATCTAGACATATGTAGGCCGTATTTCTTGCCCAAGTAGTTTTTATACTTTGAGAACTCACGTGTCCAAACGAACGCAGTATGCGGACCATCATAAATATGTAGATGCCGTAAGGGGATTTCCTTAGTATGTAGAGGAAATTTACCCATGCGGAAATGATGGCCACAATAGGAAAAACCAAAGGACAACTTTCTGAAATTTGGGGAAATCAAACAATACTGAAAATGCCTGAATGGCGAATTCAGCTAAAAGATACACGAGTTTTTTTTTCCTGCAGAATTGAAAGAGAAGGGAGAGCGAGGCTCACTCGAGTGAGCCATGCATGCGAGAATTTTTCTTTCGCGGTAGAACTGATGAAATACAGGAAAAATGGAAGCAATGTCCCATATAGAAAATTTCTATCCTAGTAGCTACAAAACGAGAAAGCCTTGAGAGGGAGCAACACGGGGAAGGGTCAGACCTCAAAGAAATAAATCCGATCAAGTAACGAACACCCCCCCACCTCCTCAGGCTAATGCATAAACGAAAAAAAAATGAAATATTGAAGAGTACCTTAACTTCCTCGTGATAATCATCATAACTGAAAAAAGTCGGCAGCCAAACGTAGAGGAATGTAGCAAAATAGGTGGCCAGATTAAATGTGTATGCGATTACGAACCAGAATGAGATCGAGTGTGAATACGAGCTTTTATTGCTCCTTTAAGAAGCTGAAATGGTAATAAGCTCATTTTGAACAGAATAGGCCTGCACTGAAACAGTGAAATAATGAAATATTAGAAAACTTGATTTTAATTCCGGATTTTTTATTTAATTTGAAACTGCGCCTAATCCGAAAAGTGCCTAGGCTGTTGATGGAACTAAAATAAATGAAATATCAAACTAATCCCAAAATTCCGATTAGAAGGAGGATTTTCAAAGTCTATCGCAACGAAGCGAATACACTTAGGAAGCAGGCGAGCCCAAATTACATAAGCTTGCGCACGTTCCAGCGAGAGCATGCTTCAGTGGCCTTGCGAGCCGTATACGCGGCCGTTGGACTCTTCTGCCCATACAATGGTAGACCCCACGCCTCTGATCAAAAGCCGTCTGACAAGAACGAAATGAGCAGCACGATTAGAGTCGCATCAATGTGAATCTCTCTGGCAAGAACGTCCCTTTATCTCAGTTTCTGGCCGTTCCATAGTTTTCCTCATCCATGAGCCAATGCTCACCTTAATTTTTAATGGGATGCTTTTCAACAAGAACTCCGCTTTCGAAACATGAAAACCTTGATTTGAGACTGTCCACATTCCTCACTCCCACATCCCTCTGCGGGAAAATAAAAGCTCATCAGAAAGGCCTAAGATTGACAGCACAGAAAATTGCGAAACCTCATCCGTAAATGCAATGGTATTGTGAAATTTAGTGAAACTCCCAGTAGCTTCTAAAATGAGAAAATCGATGAAAATCAATAGAAATTACCATGAAGAAAAGGAATAACGCTATGAAAGCTGTGACCGCGATGTCTTTAGCCACTGTGCTTGAAAAAATATGCGATGACAGCAACAACAGAAACACACCAAAGGCTGAAAAATGTTTCGTAAAAACAATAAAACGCAATTTAAAATATTCAAAAAAACAGTACCTAGAATATGGAGAGTATAGAAGAAAGCACAATCAAGAAGACGTTCGTTGATGAAATTCAACACCATCGGATGGCGCATCACACCCCATTTGTTGTCTTTTTTCTTAATGATTCAGGATAAATACTAAAAAAAATTCGGTCTAATGAAAGGTGAAGAAGAGAGAGTAGAATTATTTAGGAGGAGAGATGCATGAGGACAGGTCAAGCTCGCACATTCGGTGACGTTACAGAAGACTTATCCCGAAAAGGCAATGGGATCGGGCCTTTAGTTCTATCCGAAAGCGGGTTGTCATCAGCGTCATAGATAGTAAGCCGAGGAGCCGAAATTCAGCGGATGAATTGGCGTAACACAGAAAAGCTGTCCAAGCTGCTCATCGATAGGGAATTGCCTCCTACATTTTGATAAAGCTCAGAACCGGAAGGAATAACTGATTTCAGCTGACAGGCGATACTGCGAACTCCTGCAATCCCACACGGATTATGTGGTGCCATCCGGTGAAGATGGCTGGCTGGAAGCAGCTTTCAAAAAAGCATTACAATTTTAGAAAATCATTTTGAGGGCATAATTCATCAGAAGTATGGATGGAGCTTTCTGGTAGACGCGCCTGAAGCTTCCGCACCTGAAGGTGATCTCAAGAATTATGCCCATATACCCATCCAACCTCAGCTTTCACTGTTTTGTCACATTTTTACATAAAATTTTCCATTAGGTTCTCTACCATGCCACTTTTCCCTGACGGGGAATTTTCG